ATGCTAGTTTTTGACAAGTTACAATGGGAAGAGTAAAAACTGTATTTGCACTTGCATTTGAAAATAGTTTAGAATGAGTGATACCTGCCAAACGTTATGCCCTGGAAGTCTGAAGAACTTTGATTTTCTTTAGGGACTAAACTAGCCCTAGGTAACTTCTTTTTCATGTGCTGTTTTCTCAAGATCTTTCCCTTTCAGTTCTGCTCCTTTTCACAGGATATGTGAGAGAGAATTCATCCTAGGAGATTTATCTCCCTCTTTTCCCTTGCCAAAACTCTGTCTGCACCCAGGTAGCCTTCAGCCTTCCCCTGGCATGACTCACCTGAAACACATCCCTGTCTACAGCGCTCAGAAACGAGTTCCAAAACCAGTAAAACAAGCAAATTCAGGTTTCCTGTAGCTTCAGGTCCTACATTGTTTGCATCTCTGTCCTGGAGCACCTTCAGTCCTCCTCACACCTCTCACCCTCCTTTTTGCTTTTGCCATCTGGGTAAATGTCAACCGGGCTTTAGAAACCACTGCCTGGCTCCCAAAGGAATGGGCAGCCCCCAAGTTCTCCTGCTTCCCAAAGTGCTGGAAGGTGGCAGCTGGGACCTCCCAAACATGAGCCACTTCAGGTCAGTGCTGCTGTTCCCTGGGCACTGAAGTTTCATAACTCCAGGAGTGAAGCCATCAATCAGCCTTGTCTGCAGGAATGGTCAAATGTTGCTGCCATCCATCTGTTTTCTCCTCAGGCACATTTGGCAGCCAAGGGAATAACCCTGGATGTTGGTTACCAGGCTGTTTCTTTCCTAAGTGGGTCAATATCAGTGCTGAAAAAGAGCAAAAATTGATTTCTAATTTAAATTATATGCGCTTTTCCCTTTACCAAGCAAACCAATTTGAATGCCAAATTATTATAACTGCAACAAATCCCTAAGTTTTCAAAGACTTCTTAAAATACTGTAGGTAAAATGCCATAATGTCATAGTTCATTCTTGCTGTTGGAGGTGTCAGTCCTAGTCACCTACACCTGTAAATTGTACAACTGCTCTGTCCAGGCTCTGATTTGGGATGTAATGAGTGGATCCTCTTGCTGCACTCCCTGGGAACTGAACATCACAAATCTGTCAGTCAGAAAGACCCCAAAGTTCCTGAGCACCAGTGGACTTTCTTCCCTTCATTGAACCCCCAGGGAACAAACATTTCATTACAGACTTTTAATTACAGTGGGGGGTATTCACAGAACAGAACTATAATAAAACCCCAACCTCCCCCCAAAAGTTTGAATTCAGGCATGTCCATGGGCATAGATTTAGGGATGCCAGGGTTTAAACCTGATAGTGATTTAAAATGAAAAGTAGGAGGGGAGAACACGAGTTAGAAGCAGTAGTTGATACAACCTGGAGCTGTTTGCAAGAGGTGTTAACAGAATGGATTTTTTGTGTCCAGGTCCAATGGAGCTGGTGGTCCTTGTGTTCCTCAGGAGTGAGAAGCAGTGTGGCCAAACTGGTAAGTGAACAATTTAATCGCCTTTTTTAAAAGTGAGAGGGGCTGACAAGTAGAAATATTAAACCCACTTAAGGACATTAGTAACTCAAAGTGTCCAACCCTCAGCCTCTGAGCGGGCAGAGAGGAAAGGACTCTGCAGGGCTCAGGGAGGAGGTTTTCCAGGAGCATGGAAGTGCTGCAGGGAATGGTTGAGCTTGTTGCATCTCTCGACACTGTGTCAGTAAAATGTAACATTAACTGTGGATTGTCTTTGAAGATTCTGAGAGAGCCAGCCTGACTGGAGGTCAGAGGACAGTCCCTTCATTCTGTTGTTTTACCTTTTCCATCCACATGCTGCATTTCTGTGGATCAACTGAGTGATTTTGTGCCAGCATCCCACTGCTGCTCTTGAGAAGGAGTCCTGCAGGTGTTCAAGCAAGGACAAACCTGCCAGGCAAATACACTCAATACCCAAGGCTCTGCAGCACAGGCAGAAGCTGAAAACAAAGATTTACAGGGTTTTATCCTTCCAGGGGCCTGAAACCTGGGGGATTGTCCTCCCAGCTTAAAAGGAGGGGCAGAATTCCAACCACCCTCGCAATTTTAATCCATCTTTTAAAATTGCCATCTGAGACTAAATTTGGGGGTTCTTTTTCTGTCGGATCCTGCTGTGAAGTGAGAATACTGCATTTGGCCCATCACAGTTCTTATCCTAGTCTAGAATATGCTGTGCTATCATATTATTTCTGTGTAAGATCAAGCAGAAGGTCAGAGTGGACAGAAAAAATCCAGCCAGAAAAAAATCCATGTGGCCCTTGGCAGCACTGCCTGTGGAAATTCAGAAACACCCATGGAATGCCTTTCTTCCCAACTTTGCCAGAGGAAAACAGCTCGTGAAAACCAAGCTTGTAAATTAAATTGATGAATATCTGCAAAATACTCCTACTTGTTGACGATTTTCATATCAGAATTGTAAAATACTTCTCCAAGGAGCTAAAAGAAAGGGGTTTTTGCAGTAGTGTCACTACTGGAGAGTGTGTTTTCCTCTTGCTTGTTAATTTGACTTGCTCAGGGAATCTGGAACTCCCTTCCTGTTTCCCTCCAAGACCTTTACTCACTTCCTGTCTCTAAATAAAAACCCTTTCATTTGTCCTTAATTGATGATAGAAACTCTTCCAAGTTTTCTGATAAAATCAGCCGAATTATATATAGACTTTACCTTCTTGTAGATGACCAAAAATCCCCGTAGTTGGATATTTTAAAATCAATTTCAGTGCTGTGTCTAGCTCAGAATTTTCTCAGTTTTTAAAGGTACCTTCTTGCCTTGGGGTATATTTTAATGGAATTTTAAAAATCCATTTTCTAGTTTAACCGAGACACGCAAAAAGTAGATTGGCTGGTGAAATTGTAAAGACTTTATTCAATCCAAATATTTTTATTTCCTATCCATCCACCCTACTGCTGCTGCTGTAACGTCCCTTATATCGCTGTAAAAAGGGCTGACTCGAAAATATAAATGGATAATTTGTCAATAGAACACACAAAATCTGAGGGGCAAAGAAGACCTCACAGGTTGTCAAGTGCTTATTCACCTGCTGGGGAAATTCATCTCTCTAGGGATAGCAGTGACGCCGTCATTGTGTTTATAAAAATACTCTGCACATTCCTTCTAGTAATTTCTGGTAGAGATAGGGAATATTGATGTTTTTGTATGTTCCTGGAAAAAAAAAATCTCATCTGGAATTTCCTGTGCCTGAACTGAGAGTGGATTGGGTGCAGGGAAGGGCTGTTGGAGGAGCAAGGGAAAGGGTGACAGCACAGCTTCTCCAGCCTTGGCTTAGGAAAGCAAGGGCTGGATAAAGTGTGTTCTTAGAAATGAACATTCAGAGAAAAGAACAATTTAAATTAACGGGAGAAGTGGTAAGAGGATGAAAATTGGCCTTGAGCCAACTAAGACTGGAAGTTGGAAGGAGGTCTCCAGTTCTGTAGAAAATGAGGTATTTTAGAAGGGCAGCAACAAATATTTGGGTGCAGACAGCTCGTGCAAAGATTATGCTACGTGTTCCTGAGACAAGAGAGGCCTCGGAGCTGGGGCCTCACCAAGCCCCTCCACTGCATGTTGCCATCCTGTTCTTCAGACAGTGAGTGCAGCTGGAGATCGACCTCCAATTCCATGCCAGAGACTCTTCCCATCCCTGCATCCATCCCTGCATCCACTGCAGCCTTCATGGCAGCAGGGAAGTGACAGGAGAGCTGCTTTTCCTTCACTTCTCGTGTCTCACTGAACGTGCAGCTGCTTGCTCTGACTGTTTCCATGAACTAATCTCTTTATACAGGCATATGTGGGAGAATAAATCATCTGTGGGTTAAAACCCCGTAATAATGTTGGAGTAGTGTTAAATATAGAGTTATAAGGCCTTTTGGTCTTATCGTGGCAGCTGTGTGGGTGGAAACTGCACCCAAAGAGATGCTATTTTAGTTAAATTAAGTGTTACCCTCAGGGCTTTGGCCAATGTTCCATCTCTGAGCAGAAAGCTGGAGACCACAGCAGTCTGACAGGAGCCAACTTGGCATGAGCCAAGTTTTCTTCTCCTCTCCCTCTCCTCTTTCCATTGCTCTTTCCTTTTCCCTTTCCTCTTTCCTTTCCTTTTTCCATTCCTCTTTCATTATTCCTTTCAGTTCCTTTTTTTCTTTCATCTTTTCTCTTTCCTTTCTCCTCTTTCCTCTCCTTTCCTTTCTCCTTCCCTTTCCTTTTTCCTTTCCCTTCCATTCTTTCCCACAGAAGTTGCACAATTTAAATGCAGACTTTAGGAGATGATGAGATCTGCTCGGGGGAGGCCCTACGCTAACATGGGTGGTTAAACAACTTCGTCTCTTCTGACAATGCCTCCCCTCTGTTCTTTTTTCAGACTCGGGAAGGTTTTTGCATCATGTTTTGGTTAAACTCCCCCTGCGCTCGGAGGAAGGCGCTGGCTGACTCCGCTTCCCACCCCAGGGGACGGTCCTGCCCGCGGTGATCGGCGCGATGCCCGAGGAGCGGGATGGGGACGGCGCCTCCCCCTCCCTCGGCCCCGCAGTGCGGAGACGCCCGGGACGCCTTCGGTCACATCCAGGGTGAGCGAACCCGGGTGCGGGTGGCTCGGGGTCCCGCACCCTCCGTCCCGGGAGCCCGGCCATCCCCTCCCCTTTCGGAAATCGCCGAGCGCTTCTGGCCGCCGTTCAGAGGCAGCAGAAAAAGAGCAAGCGGCGCCGTTGCGGGCGGATCGGTGTCTGTCCCACGGTGCGGGGGCGGCGCGACCCCCTCGGGGCGGGACCCCCTCCCCCGGGCCGTGCCCCCGCCCCGCCCGAGCCGAACTTTCCCCGAGTTGGGCGGCCCCGCCCCGGGGCTCGCACCACGCCCAATGCATATTCATGAGGGGCCGCGCCCGCCGCCGCTCCCCATTGGCGGCCGCGCTGCCCCCGCCGCTGCCATTGGGCGGTGCCGCCGTCGCTCTGCGCGCGGGGCGGGGCGGCCGCGCCCGCGGTGACTCACAGGGCGGAGTGCGGGTCCCGCAGCGGCGGCGGCAGCGCAGCCCGCGCCTCCCCCACCGCGCCGCTCATTGTTCCGCCCGCTCCAGGCACCATGGACGAGCTGGACCAGTCGCCCCTGGTCTCCTCCTCCTCCTCCGGGCCAGCCCGGCCGCAGCAGCCACAGTTTAACTACCAGTTTGTGCTCGACGACGAGAAGGAGGAGGAGGAAGAAGAGGAGGAGGAGGAAGACGAGGACGAAGACTTCGACGAGCAGCTGGAGGTGATGGAGAGGAAGCCCGTCGCGGCTCCCGCCGCAGCCCCGCAGGAGCGGCCGCCGCAGCTGCTGGACCTCGGCGGTCCCGCCGAGCCGCCCCGCCCCGCAGCCCCGGAGCCGCCGCAGCCCGACTGGAGCCCCCGGGGAGCCGTGTCCTCTTCTTCCTCCTCCGCCACCACGCCGTCCCCCGCGCAGGAGCAGCCCCCGGCCCCCGCCCGGCCCCTGCCCAAGCCCGAGCCCGCGCCCGCCGCCGCCCCCCGCAGAAGAGGGTCCTCGTCCGGCTCGGCTGGTGAGTGCCCCCGCCCCGGGAGGGCGGTGGTCGGGCTGGGGAGCCTCCGCCCGAGCCGCTCCGGTTCCCGAGCCCCGGTGCCCCGCCGGGAGGTTCCCTTTGTCTGCCGGCCCTCGGCCGCCTCCTGCGGCATCGCTCCCTCCCCTCCGCCGCGCTCGGGCGCGGCCCCGCTCCCCGCGGCCCCGCCGCAGCTCATGCGGGAAAAAGAGCTCCCCCTTCCCTTTCTTTCTTTTATTTTTTTTTTTATTGTAATTTCTTCTCTTTTCCTCCTCCTCCCGTCTGTGTTATGCTAATGGCGGGAGGGGGAAGCGCCGCCCCGGCCGCCGCCTCGCACATGGGCCGCCCGGGGGCGAGGCCGCCGCCGCCGCCTGGCAACGGCCGCGTCGCGGGGGGAGCGGGGGGCGAGCCGGGTACCGGCCGAGCCCGGGGGTACCGGCCGAGCCCGAGGCACCGCGGAACCCGGCGGTACCGGCCGAGCCCCGAGGGGACCGGGCGCGGGGTCCGCGCGGCTCCGGCCGCCTCTGCCCCGGCGCACAGCCCGCCCCTCCCGCGCCGCATTGTCCCGGGCACGGTTCCCCCCGGCCGGCCCGGCACTGCGGGGCCTGGGCGTGGGAGCGCGGGGGAGGAGGGCAGCGCAGATACTTGTGATCTTACTCATGTTGAACGCAGCGGCCGCAGGGAGGGGCGAGGCGGGGGACTGCGGAGCGGCTGCCTGCCCTCCACCTGCCCGGCACGGCCCCGCGGCCGCAGCCCGCGTGGGGACGCCGCGCCCCGGCCGCGGACTGTGGGGCCGAACCCCGGAGAGGGAACTCGTAAACTAGTGAGGAATGTGTGGCAGCACAAAAGGCTGTTCGCTGGTGTAGGTGTGGCAGCCCTGGAGAAGAATGTCAACCCCGCGCCCTGGGTGGCCACGGCTCTCACCTGGGGCTTCTCCAAGGCGTCGCCCCAAAATGTTGGGGGGAGTTCAGAGTTGTGTAGCGGGGGGGAGTGCCGCCCCCCAACAATTCCTAGTGCTACTGGAATGCCAGAGCCCTTCTGGCAAGGTCTAATCCAGGAGCTGACCCGCATGACTAATGCCTTGCATGCGGATTCCGAGTGTGCTTTGGCTCTGCTTCTGCTTAATTCAAAGTGCGAGAGCTGACTCGAGGCCATTAAAACAGTGAAAAGGAACAAATCGAAGTGCCTCGTGATCACAATGGTGTGTGCTCACCTTCATTGCTGCCCTGGCATTGCCGTGCTGTAAAGATGCAGGATTTCAATAATAACTTAGCATCGTAGTGTGAGGGGGCACGATACTCCAGATCTAATCAAGAAAAGCATCTGGAACAATGATTAAAAAAAGGCCTGTTAAAGCTGAGTTCAGTTTTGTCGGGGGAGTTTCCCAATGGGTTTTATTTGCATGTGTGACAGGAGTTCCTGGCGAGTTGTGCTGTTGTCTTTCACGAAGCCTGGTTTTTTGTTCCTCCGGAAGCTCTCAGTGTAGCAAGACGCTGAGGAGATTAATTTTTTTTCTTGTTTCCACCATTTGGAGGACAGATGATGACAAAAGCTTGCAACAGACTAAAGAGGAGGGATTCTGTATGATGAGTGAACACAATTTTTTCTAGGCATGTTCTTTGAGTGGAGCTCTGGGTGGTTTAAACAGAACTGAATGGAAGAAATAAGATCAACCACATCGTGTTACTTTGAAAAGTAGGGGAAAAAGTGTGTTTTCTGGAGGTGATTTGTTCTTCTGCTCTCTGACCCCTGGAGGATAAGGCAAAAAGAGCACAGTAATTCCGGAAATAGCTGCTGGTTAGAGTAGAGGAGACCTGACTGTGAGAACTGCACAGTGTAGCTGAGAGTGGTATCAAAGAGTTGTTTTAATGTGTCAGTGATGATTAATTTAGGGCTGAAGTGAGGACTGGCATCTGGGGGAGGCCTGGTTTCCAAAGACAAGGTGTTGTAACACAATGCTGCTCTAATGATGAGTTGAAACGTTAGAGGCTGTGTACCTGAAACTCCTGGATGAGAGCATGGGCAGGTCATCTCCTGAACACTTTGGCCCTCTCAGATGCAGGAGTGTCCATTTAAACATCGGGTATTTGTTAGTTTTGCATTCAGCAGTTGGTGTTAAAACGGTCTGAGGCAAAATATTTGGCTTGGCTTCAAGTGAGTTCACTTTGAGTCATGTTGGGAAATGGGCAAAAGGAATTTTCTGCCTGCAACTGGTGGCAGGGTGACCATGGCAGGGACAGCCACGTGGCTGGGGTGGTTCCCTCTGCAGAGTTATGGTTTCATTTACTTTGAGCTTTGAGAATAGTGGGGCTTCTTTGATCTGCAACAATTGGCCCTGCTGCTGCTTTTTGTCAGTGTAACAATAGCAAAAATGAATTGCCTGGGTGATGGCCCGTTCAGATGTGTTTTATATATACATGGGGGTGTTTTGAAAAAGAAAACCTCTGTAACTGCTATTAGTTACACACTTAGGAGGATTCGGTATCATTGTTATAAGAGACTGGGACATAATTATATGTGATGCAAGTCCCTGGCAGGGTAACAGCAGCCTCCCTTCAGAAGGGCTAATATAAATATTTGCAGGAGAGGAAAACAAGCAGGAGCACTGCAGTCAGACCTGGGCTGTCCTGAGTGCTTTCTGGTGCCTTGGTACTCGCTGTTTTGGGGGTACCAAACCCTATATTCCTTCCAGAGACATTGCTACTTAAATCTTTTGATTATTTGAATGTACCTACAGTGCAAAGGAAGGTCAGTCTGAGGTGGTTGTACGTGGTCAAAGCAATGCCCCCTCTTTTTTATTTTTTTTTTTTTGGCTTGCTGCCCAAAGTAAGAATAACCACTGTACTATGATGAGTAGATACCACTTCCCTTCTAGATCCTGCAGCACTAAATCCTGCTTTTAAAGGGAGGTCATACATCACTTTCCTGGAAGAGACCGTTGTGTTTGGAAGTTACACTGCACTTACCAGAAGCTGTATACAAAAGCCACCAGCCTGGCCCGGGGCCAGCATGCAGAGAGAATAAAGATGTTTCCTTGTGTCTCACTTGCCTGCACTGACCTCGGGTAAATACATATGTAAATGTCATGAAGGGCCGGCTCGTTCATTAGTCTTGGGTTTCCATTTGATGATGTGGGGGTTTTTCTTTAATTCCTCCGTGCTGAGGAGAGCTGTCAGGAGGGGTGTGCTCACCAGCCAGACGGTGTCAAAGGCAGGTCAGCAGAGCTGCCTGGAGCTGTGCTGTGCCCCGGCCAAGCTGAGCTGCAGGAGGTGCTGATGAAATGCAGGGATCTATCCCTGCCTCTGCTCACCCCCCCCACTGACCCTTTTCCTCTGCACGTCCTGGCATTTGTATTTTGTACAAATTCTAAAGCAGCAGATTCACTCCTTGGATTTTCTTGCTGCTCTGTGTGTGTGGACTTGGACAGAGGAGGGTGTGGATTTTAAGGACATGATGCAGCATGACTTGGAAAAAATCCATAGCTGTCCTTGAATGCTACCAGTGGTGACTTTCATCTGCACCCTTCATTGATTAAAATATGTTCCCACTGATCTTCAGCATCTCTCTGAGGTGCAAGACCCTTTCTCTTCCCAAATATACCCATTAAAGCTCTAAGGGAGCTGATCACAAGCTGAGTTATCTTAGATAGAATGTGGGTTTTTTTTAATATATATATATTAGGAAGCAGAGAGTAATCAGCCATGTGACTGGTACAGTAAAGCTGGTATCTTCATTTTCATCTTTCATGTTCCCATCTAGGTGAGTTCAACAAGGGATCAAGTTATCTATTCAGTTTTATTCAGTGTCCTGTGCAGTGTCCAGCGCTGGGCCTGTGTCTGTAGTGGAGCTGCTGTAAGAGTTTCAGGAGCCAAACAGCTCCTCTGTTAACCAGGAGTGTGTGCAGGGACAGTGCTGCCAAGTTCATGGGACGTTTGCTTCGTGTGTGTAGCCCTTGACTTGCTCTCCAGGATGAAACCACTCAGCTTCCACCCACCCTGTAATGACACAGCCCTCAGGGAAGCTGGGAATTGCACTGGGAGTTTTCCCCTTGGAGATGAAATCCTACAAACCACAAGTTTGGAGACAATGAGGAGCCACTGTTTGTTTGCCTCTCCTCCCCTTCCTCCCTGTCTGTGCTTAGGGAAGTTTGGAGCTATGGAGTGACCCCACAGTCAAGTCCCCCTTGCTGGACTCTCTTGTCCCCTGGCTGTGTCCCCGCTGGTGACCATGGAACCTCCCTCTGACCTCTCAGATAACCACAGGCAGCACTCCTGGAAGTCAAGGAGGGCATTCAGGTTTCCCACTCAGTGGTTTTTTCCTGCTGACTGGTACAAAGTTCTGGGAGAGTGGATTGTGTTTTCACTTTTCCTCCCTCTCCCTCCAGTATCCCGGGGATTTTGGAGAGCACCCAGTCTGGGAGCCTGGCTGTAGCAGGAGGCATCCAGGCATCCCTCTTCACCCTGGAGAGCAGTGTTCCCATGCTGTTGGAATTCTGGGGGGCTTTGGTGCTTGCCAGGCAGTTTTGAGGGGCTTTAGAGGCTTTGTGTGCCTGCTTCCATGTCCATTTTCCACACCCATGGATCTGCCTGGCAGGAACAAAGGGTGTTTAACCTCAAACCTGAGCCATGTCTGGCTGTGCTACAGTTACATTTATTTTCTGTTAATATTTTGAAACATGCTTTTTTGTTTGTGCTTTTTTTTTCTTTTTAAGCTGGCAAGTTTCTATAGTAACTATGAAACTCAGATAAAAAAAAAATTAGCAATGCAGAGTTCAATCTGAAAATGTCCTTTGGGTTCCAGATAGTTTGAGAGCAAGGAAATAGTTTTTGGTCCTTTGTTGGCTGGGAAATGTAAAGCAACATATAGCTCACAGGTTAATTGTCTTGAGATCTTCAGAATTGCTTATGCATGAAGTAGGAGGAAAATTGTGTAACTATCAATCTGCATTAGAAATGAAAGAGGAAAAAAGCTATTATTGCCAAGTAAAAATAGGGAACTGCGAG